AGGATTGACATCTGAGTGCAAGGTACTGAAGTATTGGAAGTGACACTGCACTTCTGGGAAGAGACTTTTAATATTTTAAAGTCAATCAGGCTTCCCCATTTCTGTGCGCGGTGCCTTCGGAGAGCTTTTGGGGGTCAAAAGAATAAAATGAAGCTATCTCATTTATAGAGCCCCAGACCCCCTAGGGTGTAATACATTGTGTGTTGTGTTTTGTGAATTCAAAGAATTTACTCTGCTACAAAGGGTTGCCATGGAAACTAATCAATCTGCAGCTTCATTCTCTAGAGCTGGAGTAGAAGCATGTTACAAAGTGAGCAGGATACATATGAGCACCTCATACATAGAGAATGTAGGATTTATGGATCTCTTGGTTACAGGTGGCATGCCACCGAAAGGAGACCAGGAACACTGATGGATGAATGAAAGGAAGTATCTTTTTAACCATTCAACCTAGCTCAGTTTTGAATACGGAAATAGGAGAATAAATAAATGTATTGCAGACTAATCCACAGCATGATGACATGGTAAGTAAACTTGGATAAGAAAAGCTAATATTTGAATTATTGATGAGCAGAAGGTACAAGTAAATAATATCTTGGCGTTTTCCATTCAAACCACTAGCTATTTTAAGTTAATTCATATTTTAATAGAATAATGAAATGCAGTAAAATTCCTTGCAAGTTATTGGTGTTGGCCAGCTCCCACTTTGAGTGAGACATTTTGATGATTTTATCCCATTCTGTCTCTTTCATTTTTACACAGCATTTACTGTGTTTTAGTCTAAGCAGTTGTATATTTTTCACTCATATTTCATTTGCTAATTTACTTCAGTTACTATTGAGCTCTTTTTTTAGGCACTTCTCCCTATTTTGAACATATTTTAGCTTGCATAGAAGAGTGTACTAATTCTTTATATGGAATTTTCCTGACTCCATGAACGCTGTTTTGGGGTAGGGGCCACGGAAATTCAGGAACAAAGTATTGGGCTAGTTCCTCAATATGTCCTTGCCTCTGGGCACTTTCCTCAAGAGTTGAGCAGCATGTCTGGACGGTAACTCACCTGCAGCAGTAGAATGCTAATTAACGCCATCAAAGAACCCATTAACTGGCATTTTCTAGTGTAGTGAGAGTTGGTTGGAGAAGCTTGGGGCCTCCACAGTGTCTGCAGTTTGACTCTTCAAAGGACATGAGAACACAGAGTATGGTTGGAATGTCATGCAGTGAATTTTCAGAGTTATCTTTATATGAGTAAATTGATTTAATTCAAAACATCTACAACCAGGAAATGAGATGAAATTGACTTGCCTTGACATCAAGGCAGCAGTTGACCAATCATAGCGTCAAGAAACTGGGAATCAGGCAGAACAATCTCCACTGCTGGAGTCACACCTAGCAAAAAGGATGCTGGTTGCGTTTGGTGGTGGGTATAAGTCAGCCTCAGGACAACGTGATAGGAATTCATTTGGGTAGTGTTCTATACTCAGCCATTCTGTTTGATCAATGGCTTTCTGTCTACCATGAAGTCAGAAGTTGTAAGTTTGCTGATAATTATACAATGTTCAGCACCATTTTGACTCTTCAGATACTGAAGCAGTCTGTGTCCACAGGCCGAGGAATTGTACAACATTCAGTCTGGGGCTTATACGAGGCAACAAATACCACCACCACCTGCAATTTCTCCTCCAAGCCAATCACCATCCTGACGAGGAAATATAGTGTCATTTCTTAACTGTTACTGGGTCAAAATCTGGAATTCCCTCCCTAAGGGCATTGTGGGTCAAACTACAGCATGTAAACTGCAGCAGTTCAATGGACATCTCACTATCACTTTCTCGAGGGCACCTAGGCGCAGGCAATAAATGCTGGCTAGCCAACAATGTCCACTTCCTACAAGTGAATAAAAAGAAATCATTTGCTGCACAAGTGGCTGTCTCTCAACATGAAAGAATCTAACTTGATATTCAATGGCATTACCATGATCATCAAAGTCCTGGGCTTACCACTGACCAGAAACCTAACTAACCCTGCCAGATAGATACCTTAACCACAAGAGCATGTCAAAAGTTCAGAATGCTATAGTGAGTCACTTCCTGACCCCACAAAGCCTCCATCACCTACAAGGCACAGGTTAAGAATGTGATAGAATACTCTACACTTGCCTGAATGTTGGAGTTTTGTGTCATCAATATCCAAGAAACTCTGTCATCCAGTGCAAAGCAGCCAACTTGACTAGCACTAGAACTGTCTCAATTGTCGCACACTGGCATATTGTACCATCCACAAGATGCAGTGCGGCAACCTGTCAAGCATCCTTTGGTAACACCTTCCAAAACCATAACCTCAGCCATCGATAAAGATGAGAATAGCAGATGTATGCGAATGTCACTTGCAAGTTCCCTCCAAGCTACTCACTATCCTAACTTGCAGCAATATAACTTCAATGCCACTGTGTCAAAACCTTGAAACTCCCTTTTTAACAATACATATACTATAGTGATTCAAGGAAGTTGCTTAACACCCCTTTTTCGATGGCAGTTAAGGATGGGCAACAAATCCTTGCCTTTTAATGATGTTTCATGGGATGCAAACAATAAACAAGTAAAAAAATAAACAAACAGATGGATTTACCTGACAGTTCTGGTCATTGACATTTGTATGCTGGTTCCAGCATTTGTGATATACCTTCGTCTTGTAGTGCCCCGTTCCTTACCATATACTTGAGTAGCACACATCACTCTTAAAGATGCTGCTGGCTGCTCTGATTGGCCAATCTGCTTCCAGCATGTGCCCACCATCCCTAATTGTACACATCTTGTAGGTGGCGAATTATTGACCATCACCAAGAAGATTGCACCTTATTGTACTGAGGGCAGGTGGTGACGTACTGTTAATGCTGTTGGACTAGCAATCTAGAATGGCCAGTGTTCTGGGTACATGAGTTTGTAGTTCTTTCTTAACTGCTTGTTAAGCAATTAGCAGTGACCTAATCCAAAATCCCACAAATATTTTCAGAAAATCTTGTCATTCATTCTTCTAACTTCTGAACCTGCTATTTGTCTTGAGTGTAGTTTGATACAGTAGTATCAAATTTAACTTCCATGATTTCTGAAGAAGCACCCGAAACGTTATCTCCCGTCAAATGCCGGACCTGCCAAGTTTCTCCAGCATTTCTGTTTTAGATATTTTAATTGTTTCTGCATGTTAGATTTCTGCTTGTCAACTCTGATGCTGTGATCATCAGCCATGTCAATACCAGACTAAACTGGCAAACTGAACTGCTCACTGGTATTTGTCTGCAGCAACAACAGCCAGCAGTCAGTCAGTCATTTCAAACAAAACACATTCATTTGAAGCACTTCATGAAAGGTTTATCTGTTTAACCTATCAGCTGAGGTCCTTTTGAAAAATGCTCAACCTTTGCCTGCTGATGGCCACCTGTTTGGATTATAATATTACTTAATAGTTCGGTGAAATATGTCTGTTGTTTGCATCATTTAGTTGATTGTTTTCTCAAATGCTTATGTGGATGTAATTTAAAAAATTGGCTTCGCTGACTTTTTGCTGATGGACCTTAGACAGGGCCAGAAGAATATCTGCAAACTTTCCAGCATGCAATTGTAAAGCCATTTTGAACCATCTTTCTTTAAATAATCTAACATTTAAGCAAGTAATCCAGTACAAAGAAGAAGGCTATAAACTACAGACACAAAAGTGTTCTCTTTTCCTTACAACATCTACATTAGCCAACATTTCAACATGATAAGACAGAATTTAAAGTTATTAGTAAAGTCAGGAAAGCTGTTCGGAAGGCAAAGAAGAGTTACACAATTATCAAGGAACATAGACGAAAGAGGTAAAGTATTTTGCAGGTGCAATAATTAAAAAAGGAATGCGGTGATGGGAAAAGGGCCATTAACAGTCAATGCAGAGGAATGCAGTAATAAATACAGAAGGAAATTTATAAAGTAGCAAATGAAATTCAATGTAGATAAATGTGAGGTAATACATTTTGATTGGAAGAATAAGGTGATCACATTACTGGAAAATGCAAATCTAGGTGATGTAGAAGTACAAGGGGATGTTAGGTACAAATATGCCAGCCACTAAAAGCCACAGCACAGGTTAGCAAGACCATAAATAAAGCAAACCAAGCAGTAGGTCTATGTCTGGAAAATATTTCTGGCTGGACAGGATGGCATTGATAATTTCAAAAGTTAGGCTAAAACTATATTAACCTTGTTTTGACCCTCATGTATGTAGTTCTGGTTGCCAGGTTACCATAGTATTGTAGAGGATTGGAGAGAGGCATTTTACAAAAGAAATGATTTTCGAAGAATAATACAAGAAGTGCAAGGATATCCATATCTGGACAGGATTGATAGTCTGAGTCTCTCCTCTGGGAAAAATGAAGGCTGAGGGGTAATCTAATAGAAGTATTTAAAATTATGAAGGTTTTAATAGAATGGTTATAGACAGAATGCTTCCACTTGTTGGGAAGACTATAACTGAAGCTCATCAATATAAGGTAGTCCCCAGGAAGTCCAATAAGTAATTCTGACCTAAAGATTGATGAGAATAACCACAAAGAGTAGTTGAATTAAATGGTGTATGTGCATTTAGGGGAGTATTAGATAAGCTAATGATTGAGAAGGAAATAGAGGGTTAGGTAACAGTTTTAGTTGAGGAAAGATGGAAGATGCATACTTAGCATGTAAACATCAGCCCAGATTGATTAGGTTGAATGGCATTTTTGTGTGGCATATATCCTGTGTAATGTAATACAAATGTTTTGTTTCTCCAGGAAAAACCAGTTCCATTCTATGACTCTTCAGGACGCAGCACCATACTCATCATGTCCATGCTCCTTACTCTTTGTGACACTAGACTGAAATGCAAGAACTGAAACCTGAAGTGAATTTTAACTTTATAGCACTAGATGAACGGTATAACACCATATCTGTTATGTTTGTGGGTTTGTGACGAACGGTTTCTTTTTGCAGCTGGAAGAAGGAGAGAGATTTTGCAAGATTGTAACAATCATGGGAGAAGAAGCGGGTGAATTTCTTAGCAAGGGTTATCTGGGCCTAGGGCTGGTCTACAGTCTCCAAGCTACAGATGGTAAGGTGGTGCACAAAACTGTACAATTAAAGCATCATGTCAAACAGAATGCTTCTGTAGGTACTTCTAACAAAGCAATCCTTGTTTTGGTTCAGTTAAAGGCAAGGGCTCAGTTGGAATGCCCCCTTCTAAATAAACAGTGAAATGTTTCTGAAAATGCATTTTTTCAATGTAGTTATTTTTAAAATATTTTTTTGTTTTCTCTCCTATGTTCTTTATCCCCATCCACAAGCTGCTCCTAGACTAATGGGGGTGGAGTGGGTGTGGTTAAGGTCAGGAATTTTAATCCAGGAATGTGAGTGATTAAGTTTGGGTGGGAGCTGCTTGCAGTTTCAGTTGAGACATCTCTCTGCATTCAAACCCATCACTAAATCACCCATTTCTGACTTTGACAGAGGCTGACTGGTGGGTGGGTGACTAACCCACAAAATGAAACTTTAAATCTGATAGTAAAACGAGTGTCACAACAGCATCGTTGACTGGGTTTCCTGAAGCCCAGCTAGCATAATTAAGGGCCAAGTGAATTCAGAAGGCTTTGCAACTTTGTATCCTGATGAGGCCTTTCAGCTTCCACTACCTCCACCAGGCCTTAGATGTTGAAGCCTTGGTCCAAACATGACCAATAGAGATGAACTCAAGAGAATGAGGTAAAAGTGAGTGCCCTTGATATCAAGGCCACACTTGACCAGGAGCCCTAGCAAAGGTAGAGTCAATGGCAATTGGGGTACACGCTTCACTGGTTGGTGTCCTACCAGGCTCAAAGGAAGATAGTTGTGATTGTTGGAGATTAGTTATCTCAGTTCCAGAATATCTCTGCAGAAGTTCCTCAGTGTGGGCAATGACCTTCCTTCCATCAGAGTTTCGAACTGGGAGATGTTCAGCACCAGTTGTGACTCCTCCGATACTGAAGCAGTCTATGTCCAAATGCAGCAAGATCTGGACAACAGCCAGGCATGGATTGACAAGTGGCAAGCTGCATTTGAGCCACTCAAGTGCCAGGCAGTGAACATCTCTAACAGGGGAAAATCTAATTGTCACTACTTGGCATTCAATTATGTTGCCGTTGATGAACCCCCTTCAAAAATTCATGTCTAGGGGGTTACCATTGACTAGAACCTGGACTGTACTAACAATGTCAATACTGTGGCTGCAAGAGCAAGTCAAAGGCTAGGAAACCTGCAGTAACTTACCTCCTGACTCTACCATCTACCAGCCAAAGGCAGGAGAGTGACAGAGAACTCCCAGCCTGCGTGGATGAGTGCAGATCCAAAAATACTTACTTCAAGAAGCTTAAAATCATCCAGGTCAAGGCAGCTTGCTTGATTGACACCCCATCCATAAACATTCTCTCCCTCCACCACTATGCTCAATAACAGTAATGTCTACCATCTATAAGATGAACAGCAAAAATTCACCAAGGCTCCTTAAATATCAGTGCTGGAGCTATACCCAAACTAAGTTGCATTTATAAAACCTCCTTAAAGCAGAAATTCTGAGAGCACACTATGGGACATGAGTGGAGGAGAATTCAACTGGAACTTTGTCTATCAAGATTATACCGTCGGAAAATAAAAAATGTTCTGTTACACCACACTGCCCTTTGCATTAGGCAGTAAAGTGATGGCAGCTGAAACATTTTATAGTGCTTTTTGTTAGGCCTGTACTTTACAGTGTTGAAGTACATTTGAAATGTAGTCGCTGCTTTATTAGTAAACACGGCAGACCGTTTACACACAGTGAACTCCCACAAGTATTAATTTGATAGTTATCAGATATAATCCCTTTTTGTTATGTTGATCGAGAATTTCTTAGTACTAGACTGGAGGGTTAGCCTTGAATTTTGTGTTCAAGTGTTCAGAATCAGGCATGAACCCAGCACCTTATGATTCAGAGATGCGTGTATTAACAAATGAGCAGCTTTATGCAGTGACGTTTTTACTGAGTTTAGTGCACATTGATGAAAAAGAGGAAATGTCTGTAGCTGAGTGGGGGATTACCATAGTTCACAGAATTTTCTTTTTATTTGACGTTGATTAATCATTCTAACTCCCGTTTCATTACCCTGCAGCTCCTCTAAGGAGCAGCCGAGATCAACTCCACAAGAAAGCATTGAAAGCTCTCAAAAGGTAAGGCTGTATGTTTAATTTTACTTCAGAATAAACCAGAATTAAGAGTTCAAATAGCACACTGCTGGAAGTGTGGTAGAGCCAAATTCAGTTGAGCCATTCATTGGATGACTATTTGAATAAAGTCAAGTGCAAGGTAGGGGTGGAGGGCACTGCTGGCGATTTACTGATTAGAACAAAGTTACATCAACATTGAATGCTAACATTTTATTGATATTAAACTGTCAGAACCAGTTACGGTAACAGTACAGTGTGGATTTGATGTGTTATTTTCTGCAATGGGCCAAAGAAAACTTGTGCTCATTAGTCTGCAACTGCTGCCAAAAAATCTGAAAACTAGGTATTTGCTTGTCCACCAGCTTTCCAAATGAGCATGACGACTTAGAGGAATATCACCGCATTTCCCTCCACCCCTACCTTGCACTTGTCTTTATTCAAATGGTCATCCAATGAATGGCTCAACTGAATTTGGCTCTACCACACTTCCAGGCATTGAATTCCAGACTCAAACCACACTTCAATCTTTTTTTCTCCTATCATGTTTGTAACTTTTGCAAATGACTTTAAAATCGCTATTGTGAAATGTTCTCAGGTATTACAGATAAACTGTAATTGTACTGTATTTTTGCAGCGTTATGATATAATGATGTGTGGTTTAACTGCCCTGTAGAATCAGACAACAGGGGCATCATATGGGCAGTGCAGGTAGTTAGTGAGGTGAGTTGGCACAATGCAGTAAGAAAACTCGCTACGTCTTGCTGAAGGAGATTGTCTGTGAAACTCAACAAAACTGACGCTCAGCTGCTAAAAGTAAGATTCAGGCCTGGGTGACAATATTAAAATTGGAATCAGAGAGTTACAGATGTGTTACTGTACAGAAGGAGACCATTTGGCCTATTGTACCTGCACTGGCTCTTCAAATGAGCATCATTACCTAGTGTCAGTCTCCCATTTTCCCCATTCTCTTGCAATAATTTCTATCCAAATAATCTCCAATGCCCTCTTGAATGCCTCAATTGAGCCTGCTGCCACCACACTTTGAAGCAGTCCATCCCATGACCTAACCATTACTTGAGAAACTTTATTCTCACATCACCCTTGCTACTTTTGCACATTTACTTTAAATCTGTGCCCTCTTGTTCTTGTTCCTTTTACAAGAAGGAACAGCTTTTCCCTATCTACTCTATCTAGCCTGCTCATGAATATGGAAACCTGTATGAAATCTTCTCTCAGCCTTCTTCACTTCAAGGAAAACAGTTCCAATTTCTTCAATCCATCTTCATAGCTGAAGTTTCACACTTATGAAATCACTCTGGTCAGTTGCTTCTGCACTGTCTCCAGTGCATTCGCAACTTTTCTATAATATGGTGCCCACAACTGTTCACTATACTCCAGCTGAGATCTTGGACAAGTTAATCATCACCTACTTGTTCTTGTACTCAACGCCCATTGATAAAGTTGAGGTACTGTTTGCTTACTAACTGCTCTTTCCACTTGTTCTGCCACCTTCGATGATCTGTGCACATTTTCCCTCTGTTCCTGTGCTCCTGCATTTCCTTCAGAACCGTACCCCTCACCTCCTACTTCTCCACATTGAAGATCATTTGCCACCTATCCGTCCACTGCACCAGTATTAGTGATTTTTTTTTGTGTTCCACTATTAAATCTAAAGCTGTATTGGAACCAACACAGTATGATTGACCATTTAAATAGGATCTTAACCCCTTCATTTGCATAGAGTCAGTATTAGGCTCTTTGTTAATATTAGATGACTAGTTGATGTCCTAGCCATACAGGAAGTCAAGATCATATCCAGTTCATAAAAGAAAGAATTGCATTATATTGCCTCTTTCATGATCGTTGGATGTCTCAATGCACTTTAATTGTCAGCAAAGAACTTCTGAAGTGTAGTCATGGTAGCATTGTAGTATATGCAACGGCCAATTTACACATAGTAAGCTCCTACAAATGACGTGATGATAAGGTTGATTGAGGTATATGTATTGATGAAGGAACCAGGCTCAACTCCTCTAATTTTTTTTACAATAGCGCAGTGGGATCACTTATATCCCACTGAGAGAGCAGACAGTAAGTACCATGGTTTAATGTGTCTTGTGAATCATGACCCGTCCAGTGGTGTTGCACTCTCAATATTGCACTGGAGTATCCTTCTTTATGTTTATATCATGCAGGTTTAGAGGATTGGATAAAAATTGGACCAAGTTGAGGAGGGGACAGGAGAGAGGAAATGAAAGTGAGAAGAAGTGGTCAGATTAAGTGGAATAGAAGTAGAGACTTGTAGATGAGAAGAGGCAAACTGGTAATTAATCTGAGGGGGAAGTAGGCCAAAGGGTGATTTTTTTTTTCTGAAGGGAGGCGAAGGACATGGTAAATGAGCTACAAAAATACAAGATTATTAAAGTAACTAGATGAAGGGTTGTGGAGAGATGGCAATACTATGTTCACTCAATGCAGAGAGGGATATGACTCTTAAATGCTTCACGCAGGGATAGCGGTTGGTAAAGTTGGTAAATTACATTTGCAAGTGTTGGAGAAAAGTGTAAAAAAATAGTTAAACTCTCAGCAGAATTGGAGAGGAGGCTTAGCCTTGCATACATACCCGCTAATACATTAGTTTGTACAAAAACGAAGCATTATGTGAGGTGCAGGATGTAACTTGATTACAACTTTGTAGATGTTCTTTATCTAATTGCTACAAGCTTTGTGCTATAGTTCACCACACATTGTTTGGAAGCTGGCAGTGACCTGACATGAAGATTCTTTGACATTTCTGTATTCATTTGACTATGAAGGTCATGTGTAATTTTCCAGCTACGATCTTATTTTGCCATTGTAAAATATTTACCGTGGTTATAAAACCAGCTGTATTAGGGGCCATTTAATAAGATTGTGGTTTGTTTTCAAATATGCAATTTCCCTAGAAATAATCCATGGGCCGCTTGATTTCTGGTGCTGATGTTATGTCAATATTGATTTTTTTTTAGACTTTGAGATAATATGAAACTCTGTCAGCAATCTCTTTACAGTGTTGGTTAGGTGGCTGTGTTCAATTCACTAAGTTCCCATTGAAGTTGGTACTCTTTGTAACTGTGTCAACATTTACAAAGAGGAAAACAAGATAACTATTCACCATCTTTAGGATAACATTTTAATTTGCATTAATGTTCCTTCGATTTTGATTACTCTTGGTCAACTGTGAATCAATGCATATGCAAATCTATCACCATGATTAAAAGCCTTAAGCCATTGTTGGATGTATTCTGCTTTCAACATACTAGAATACATAGACACAGATTGACAAAAATTGATGCCTACACATCCCCACCTTGTAAGGAGTGATGCTGAAGAATGACCAAGCCCGGAATTGTCCAGATCTTATTGCATTTGAACGTGGACTGCTTCAGTATCTGAGTTGTGAATGGTGCTGAACATTGTGCAGTCATCAGTGAACATCTCCACTTCTGATCTTATGATGAAGGGAAGGTCATTGAAGCAGTTGAAGATGTTTGGGCCTGGATCATTACCCTGAGGGACTTCTGCAGAGATGTCCTGGAGCTGAGATGGCTGACCTCCAACAACCAAAACCATCTTCCTATGTGCCAGGTGTGACTCCAACCAGCAGAGAGTTTGCACCCGATTCCAGTTTTGGTAGAGCTCCCTGATGCCACACATGGTTGAATGCAGTCTTGATATCAAGGGCTGTCACTCTCACCTCCCCTCTGGAATTCAGATCATTTGTCCTTGTTTGAACCAAGGCTGTAATAAGGTCAAGAGCTGGGTGGCCCTGGTGGATCCCAAAATGGGCATCACATGGCAGGTTATTTGCTTAGCAGCTGCTGCTTAATAACAATGTTGATGACACCTTCCATCACTTTGATGATTAGTTAAAGTAGATTGATGGGGCTGTAACTGCCCTGATTGGATTTGTCCTGCTTTTTGTGTACAGGACATCCCTGAGCAATTTTCTACATTGTCTGGCAGTTGCCAGTATTGTAACTGTACTGAAACAGCTTGGCTAGGACAGCGGCAAGTTCCGGAGCATAATTCCTCAGTGCTGTTGCTGAAATGTTGCCAGAGCCTGTAGTTTTTACAGAATGTGGTGCCTCTGCTGCTTGAATGAGAAGATTTCAAAGCCTCAGTGATAAGTCCACTGCCCAGCATTCCAATGAACCTGATTGGGTTGGGTGGGGGGGGGGGCGCGGGTGTGGGGTTGGTGGGGGGAGGTGTTGTCTACTGGGAGTAGGAAATTACAAAGGAACAGCAGGTACGTAGGTGTGCAAAACTTTGGCAAATGGAGTTCAAAGTGGAGAAGTGGAATAAATGAATATGTATGTGTCGGTATCAAAACCACTAAAACTAGGTACAAAGAGTAATCATTATTGCTAATGAAATGCTACTTTTATTCTAGGACTGCTGGAAATTTAAAAAAAAATGCAGAAGTTATGCTTCAGAACCTTTCTGTCTAATGACTGAGTTAGACTATTCAAAAATGTCCTCTATTTGGTTATTTTTATAGCATCTCTTATTGTATGTTTCCATCTCTTGTCTTAATCAAGCGTGCAAGCTATCACTGTCCCATTGTAGCTTTGTAACTTGTTTCCTAGGCTTTTTGTATTCAGTTGCAAGGCACACACTGGGGCAACACAGGACAATTTATTCTAGATTGTTTTAACTTCAGATTATCTTTTTGACCTTCATCAGATAGGTGGTCAAAAATAGGCTTGTAATCTCTGTCATGTTGTTCCACTATTCCTAATACAACTTTTCCCTTAGCTACCACAGTTTTTGCTGTCAAACTGTCTAGTAACCACACTCTTGTGTAGGCCAGTGCCATTGTACACCTCTTGTTTCATTTAGGAATTAATCAATACATGTTCAATTACAATCTAAGACTTTTGCTTTCCAGCATCTCAAAATGAAGCCTTTACTTTATTGATATCCTATTTCTGACACCTCTGTTGCTTTTGGTCCGTTTGTTACCACAGTTACGTAATGTAGGCAGTCAACAATTTTCAGTAATTTTCCAATTAGTTGAATGAGGAGCTGCAGTTTAAATATGATATGTTAATTAATTTAGCAATGAAAGGAAATACACATGACGTTCTGTAAAATGAAGGTGTTGAGGCAGCATATCCCCATGCCCCAGATGTCTTGCAGTCTTTCTTTGGTGGCCTTTGGCAGCAGCAGTTTTTGTTCTCTTCCCCCAGATTGATGTAGGGGAACTGCTGGAACCTTTTCTGACCATCCCTCCCCATCGATCCTTGTTGTGTCAATCATCTGTCTAAACCCTGTCAGCAAATGACCATGGACAGCTACTCACAATGCCAGGATGACCATTGTCCCTTGCCCACCTTCATTTAAAGGTTAGTTTTGATTACTTCTAGCTACAAAATCTTATTTTTGAAAATGTTGCATTCATAATAGGGAAGTGTAGTGCCTGTTAAATCTTTGATTCAAGTCCTGACCTTATACCTTCACCTCTGTTTTCACATACAACAGATCAGTTTATATTTGTAGAAGGCTGTAACATTGTTATAGTGTTACTACTGTAACACTCAGGCTACATCAAAAAATACTAAATATGAGACACAGAATTTTTTTTTTGAATAGAGGTTGTAAGGCAGAGGTCAAGAACTAGCTACTGAGGATGACTTGAGTAAACAGCTTGGGAGGCCTTGGGTTTTTTTTTTTAACAGCCTGATTAGATGTGGCTAGCTCTCACAGATCCAGATTTCTGGGTTTCGGTTTTTTAAGTAACATCAAAACCTGTTCGGAAGCTTCAGTGAATGTCTCCAAGCTGCTGCTGCTCTCTGAATTTTCTCTTGACGGAGAAGGAGATGGATTGGAGAACTGCATGTGAGAATCTGTGTCTGAATTTATCTTTTTGCCAAGGGGTAGATTTATGAGATGTTACTATATTGGAACAGTTAATCAATTATAGGCACTGTATCTATTTTGTTAAGTTTCCAATAGAGTTAAGTTATTCTAAATTCCTCTTTCTTTGTTGCTTTTTAATTACAGTGTTTAAATAAATTGTTTGGCTTAACATCAAGTAGTTTGACCAGTTGCATTGCATCTGGAACACAGCACCGACATTTACCTTTTAAAAATAAGAAAAAGTTAGGGTCTAGGCTATCTTCTTAAAGTATTCTGAGGGAGTCTGGTATCAGTTATGGTATTTCTATTAATGACTATCATGAGTGCATATAACTTATCTTGATCTCCTTACAAAAACCAGCCAGTTGATTATAGACTGGGGATCTTACCAAAACAAAACGATAAATTACACCACACACACACACACACACACACACACACACACACGTTAGGAATCTTGCAGTGAGTTACTTGCCTCCTGACTCCCCAAAGCCTGTCCACCATCTACAAGGCACAGGGCAGGCATGTGATGGAATACTCCCCACTTGCCTGGATGAGTGCAGCTCCAACACCACTCAAAGCTTATCACCATTCATACTCAAAGCTCGCTTGAATGGTGCCACATCTACAAATATACACTTCAGTCTGGCCTTCAGTCCTAACTTTGTGTACCATCTACAAAATACACTGCAGAAATTCACCAAGGGTCCTCATAGCATCTTTGAAATCTATGACTACTTCCACCCGGAAGGTCAAGAGCAGCAGATACACATGAATACCATGGCCTGCAAGTTCTCCACCAAGCAGCTCACCATCCTGAATTGGAAATATATTAGCATCCTTTCGGTGACAATGGGTCAATATCCTGGAATTCTCTCCCTAACAACATTGTGGTTCCATCTGCAGCAAATGGGCTGCAGCCATTCAAGAAGGCAGCTCACCACAACCTTCTTAAGGGCAGTTAGGGACGGGCAATAAATGCTGGGCCAGCCAATGTGCACACGTCCCATGAATGAATTAAAAGAAATTTATCCCTATAATCTAAAAACAAAAAAGACAAAATCCCTATCTTCCAGGTTGTTACAACTAAAAACAGGCATTTACAGACTTTCGGGTGTTAACTGCAAATGTTATGGTGCAGAAGGAGGCCAATTGGTCCATCATGCCTGCATCAGCTTATTAAATGTGCACTCATCACCTCATGCCAATCTCTTGCTTTTCCCCCATACCCTTGCACGAAATTTTTCTCCAAATAATCATCCATTGACCTATTGAATGCGTCAGTTGAACCTGCCTCCATCACACTATCAGGTAGTGCATTCCATACCCTAAGTATCTGCTGAGTGAAAAACTTTTTTCCTTTCTTCACATGTGCTTCTTTTGCGGGTCACTTTAAATCTGCCCTCTCATTCTGTTTCCTTTTATGAATGGGAACAGCTTCTCCCTCTCTGTTCCATCCAGCCTGCTCAAGATTTTGGAAATGATCTGTGCACATATACATTCAGGCCCCTCTGCTTTTGTACCTGCCCCCTGCCCAACCTTAGTATTGTGCCTCAGTGCTCTTCCTATCAAAATGGATCATCTTGCATTTCTCTGCATCGAAACTCGTCTGTCACCTATGTGCCCCACTCCATCAACTTGTCTATGTCCTTCTGGAGTTCTACACTGTCCTCCTCTGAGTTTACATTTCTTCCAAGTTTTGTATAAACTTTGAAATTTCCCTCTGCACACCAAGCTATAGATCATTAATATATATCAGGAAAATCAAGTGTCCAGTACTGACCCTGGGAGCTCCACTATAAACCTTCCTCCCATACAGAAAATATCTGTTGACCATTATTCTCTGCTCCTATCATTCAGCCAATTTTGTATCCATGTTGCTACTGACCCTTTTATTCCATGACCTAGAACCTTCCTAACAAGTCTGCTGTGTAGCATTGTATGAAGCATCTTCTGAAAGTCCATGTACACCATATCAACAGTGTTAGCCTCATCGAGCCTTTCTGTTCAAAAAAAACCCAGCAATTTAGTTAAACATGTTTTTCCCCTTTAGAAATCAATGCTCATTCTTCCTAATCCACCTATTTTTTATGTTAACTACTAATTCTATACCAAAATATTTGCCTTGACGAACTTCCGCACCATTGATGTTAAGTTGACTGGTCTGTAATTGCAGGGCTTATCCTTGTGACCTTTCTTGAAAAGGCTGTAATGTTTGCAATTTTCCAGTCTTCTGGCACTAACCCTGGGTTTTGGAAAGACTGAAAAATTGTGGCCAATGTACCAGCAATTTCCACTCTCATTTCCTTCAATATCCTTGGATGCATCTCATTTAGTCCCACTGCTTTGTCAACTTTGAGTATCAACAGTTTTTCCAGCACTTCTGCCTTTTCAATTTTGAGCCCTTCTAGTGCTCTGGGTAACATTTCTTTCTTTGGCAAAGAGCATAGCAAAGTATTTATTTAACACCTCAGAATGCCCCTGCCTCTAGGTGTAAATCCTCTTTTTGGTCCTTAATTCCCCTACCCTTCATGATATCACCCTTTTATTATTTATATGGCTGTAGAAGACTTTGGGACATCTTTTTATGTTGGCTGCCAGCCTTTTTCCATCGTTTCTCTTTGATTCTCTTATTTGTTTTTTCATTTCCCCTCTGAACCTTCAATATTCCTTTTGGCTCACAATTTGATGTTCTACCTGACACCTGTCATAAGCACCTTAATTTCTTTAAGGTCACAGGAGGAGTTCCCTTTTGTATTGAATGAAAGGCTACATTAGTAGTGTTCCAACAGAGAGCAAGATAGCTCAAAAAATCTGAAAAATCTGAAATGTGGCTTTTAAAAACAAGAATACAAAAATGAAGAACTTTTAATAGATTCTGTAATTTTAGGTAAACCTTTTGCTTTCAGTATTTGCACCCTAGGGAGATGGATAACAAATTCTTTATGGCAGATACTGTTTACAGTTTGTTAACATATACTAATATCCTGTAATATGTTTTGCTAACAGGAATAAGCCAGACAGACAGTTAACTGAACTAAAATTGCCAGTATATTTTATGTAAATGTATATGGAATACTATATTAAGGTAACAGTAGTCATACTTGTTGATAACGAAGATAAAATACTTGATGTTTTCAAATGAAATATCAAGAAATGATATGTAAATACAATAGACTGAAGCAATTAAATCACCTGTAGAATATTATTATGAATTGGGTTTCTGTATTCTTACTCTTGTCATGTTTTTCATTCAGTATCTTTATTTATCAGGAGTTTCCCTCATTGTGTTCCCTCATTATAGAGCTCACAGTTTGGATTGTGAAGATCATCGAATTGCCCTATACCTTTCCTTGCAGTTGGCATTCAACAGGCAGGTGAGTGTCATTGGTGTATTATTTCTGTGAACACAATTTCTATGCGATTAAGCTTTATTTTTAGGTCAATTAACATTGACAGTTAAAGCGCTTGGAAAACTACATGTAATGTACAAGTTGCAGTAGTAAAGATTTATCTGAACCTTCTAAATAGAAGAGTGTTTCATACATAAATAAATGTTTTAAAGCAGAGCCAATGTCCAAGGCCAAGTAGCAGGCTGAGAGGCAGGAAACAAAGCGTGATGGTAGATGGGTGATTGAGTGACTGGAAATCTGTTTCTGGTGGGGTTTGCAGCTCCTTGTTATTTTGATCTACATTAATGATTAGTAATTAAATATGAGGGGTATTATCAAGACATTTGCAGATGACAAGGAAGTTGGCAGGTCGTTAATAGTGAAGAAGACGGCCATAAATTGCAGGAGCCTATCAAGAAACTCATGAGGTGGGCAGAGCAGTGGCAAATGAAATCAATCTGGAAACGTGTGAGGTAATGCACTTGAGAGGGTCTAATAAGGATTACACTATAAATGGTAGGACTCTGGAAAGTACTGGAGATCAGAGGTACTTTGGTGTTCATATCCACAGATACTTGAAGGTAGCAGGGTTCATAGCTGAGGTGTTTAAGAAGATATTTGGGAAACTTGCTTTTATTAGCCAAAGCATGGTCTAGAAGAGCAGGCGGGTTGCATTGAGGGCTAGTGCCAACATTGGGAGAGCTGTCCCACAGACTAGTCAAACTCATGGAATCATACCTTACAATGTCTGAGGTAACACCATCCCTGGTATGCTCTGTTCCATTGGCAGGACAGACCCACCAGAGAGGGCAGCACTGTGGTATACAGTTGGGAAAGAGTTGCCCAGGGAATCCTCAACATTGACTGCAGATCCCATGAAGTCTCATGGTACCAAGTCAAACATGACCAAGCCACCTCTTGCTGATTACCGTGTGTGTCCCACCCTTAGCTGATAAATCAGTATTCCTCCATTGAGGTTGTTAACTTGCTTACTGAACTGGCTTGTTTTTGTTCAGATGTTTCGTCACCATGCTAGGTGACTTCATCAGTGAGGCCTCTGATGAAGCGATGTTGTTCTACTCCACTTGGAATTTATACTGTCTGGTCCATTATGTAAACCAACGTGGTTTACAAAATACCATGCAACGATTGCCACAAACATTACATCAGACAGACAAAAGGAAACTAGCCATCAGAAGACATGAACATCAACTAGCAGCAAAACGGCAAGACAAACTCTCCTTAATATCGGTACACTCAGACAATGAAGGCCATCAGTTTAACTGGGACAAGGTAACCATAGTAGCCCAAGCCAAACCTAGATACACACGGGAATTCCTAGAGGCATGGTTCTCCATCCATAATGCAATCAACAAACATATAGAATTGGACCCCATGTACAAGCCCATACAGATCAAAACTGGAAATGTCACTACTCACCATAACCGACCGGACAATATAAATTCCAAGCAGAGTAGAATAATATTGCTTCATCAGAGACCTCACTGATGATGTCACCTAGCATGGTGATGAAACGTCTGAACGAAAACAAGCCAGCTCAGTGAGCGAGTCAACAACCTCATCCATAACCGGAGCTAAAAGTCTTTGCTAAAAATTTATGTATTCCTCCATGTTTAACATCACACAGAGGAAACAGTGCGGATGGCGAGGGTATAGAATATATTCTAAGTGGGGGATTTCAACATCCATCACTAAATGTGGCTTATGGGTACCGACCGGGTTGACTCAGTCCTAAAGGACGTAGCTGCTAGACTGGGTCTGTGACAAGTATTCAAGAATCCACTAAGAGCATAAAATCATTGTAACCTCATCCTCACAGTCTACCTGTAGCCAATGCATCTGTCTTTGGGAGTATTGCTAGAAGTCATAGTCCTTCTGGAGATAAAGTCCATTGTCAACTTGAGGATCCTTGCATTGTGTTGTGTGGCTTTACCATCACCATGCTAAGTGGGATAGATTTTTAAGATACCTAGCAACTCACTACTAAGCATCCATGAAGTGCTGTGGGCCATCAGCAGCAGAAGAAAAGTTGTATTTAACCAAGCCAAAGACAAGACTTATACAATTTAAAAGTAGGGCCTTGGACAGTGTTGTAGAACAGAGGGACCCAACGGTGTAGGTATATAATTCTTTGAAGTTGCATCACAAATAAATAGAGTGGTTAAGAAGGCTTTTGACATGCTTCCCTTCATTGCTCAGCCCTTTGAGTATAGGAGTTGGGACCTTATGTTGGGGTTGTACAGGATATTGGTGAGGCCTCTTCTGGAGCACTTTGTCCAGTTTTGGCCTCCCTGTTATAGAAATTATTAAGATATTATAGATATTATTAAGCTGGAGAGGGTTCAGAAGAGATTTACAGTGATGTTGCTGGGCATGGAGAGTTTGAATTATAAGGGAAGTCCAGATAGACTGGGACTTAATTCACTGGAGTGTGGGAGGTCGAGAGGTGACCTCACAGAGGTTTATGAGATAATCATGGGTATAGATAAAGTGAATGGCAAGTGTCTTTTCCCTAGGGTGGGGGATTTCAACACTAGAAAGCATAGTTTAAAGGTAAGAGGAGAAGGATTTAAAAAAGACATGAGGGGCAACTTTTTTTCCCACAGAGAGTGGTTCATGTGTGGAATGAACTTCCAGAGGATTGGTGGATGCAGTAACAGTTACAATTTTTAGAAGACATTTAGATAACTATATGAACAAGAAATGTTTGGAGGTTCATGGGCCAAGCACAGACAGCTGCGACTAGTTTAGTTTGGGATTATGGTTGGCATGATCTAGTTGGATCAAAGGGTCTGTTTCCGTCCTGTTTAATTGTATGACTCGATGACCTAAAACCCTTGGACCAGTATAAGCCCCACTCTGTCATTCCAATCAAGCCACTAGCCTACCCTAGTTCAATGAAGAGTCTAGGGAGGGCATGCTAAGAGCAGCACTAGGCATATGTAAGCAAGAAGGTGTCAACCTGACAAAGCTGCAATACAGGACTACTTGCAGGCTAAAGAGTGAAGCAGCCAATGATAGAGCGAAGCAATTCCATAACCAACAAAGCAGATTTAGGTTCTGCAGTCCTATCATATCCAGTTGTGAATGACGATGGACAGTTAAACAAGTAACAGGAGGAGGCAACTTTACAAATATCACCATCCTTAGCAGTGGGGAGCTCAGCACATTAGTGTAAAAATACAAAATTGGAACATTTGCATCCATTTTCAGCCAGCATCACAGACAATATTCAGCTTGATTCACTCCAAGTGATATCAAGAAATGGCTGAAGGCACTGGATACTGCAACAGCTATGGGTCCTGACAGCAATTCAGCAAAAGTACTGGAGACTGATGCTCTAGAATTAGGCTGCATCTCTAGCCAAGCTGTTCTTGCACAGCTATAACACAAGCATCTGCCCATAGATGGATAATTGCCCATGTATGTCATGTCCTCAAAAAAACAAGGTAAATCCAATTCAACTAATTACCTTCTTATCAGTCTACTCTTGATTATCAACAAAATGATGGAAGAGACCATTCACAGTGTTCGGAAGTAGCACTTACACAGCAAAAACTAGTTCTCTGAAGCTTTAGTATGGGTTCTGCCAGGACTACTCAACCCTTGACCTCATTACGGCATTGGTCCAAGCATGGACAAAAGAGCTGAATGCAGAGGTGAAAGTTACAGCCCTTGATACTGAAGTAGCGTTTGACCAAACATGGAATCAAGCAGCCCCAGCAAAACTAGAATCAATGGGAATCAGGAGAGTAATTCTCTCCCGGTTGGGATCATACCTGGCACAAAGGAAGATGACTGTGGTTGCTGCAGTTCCAGGATAAGTCTGAAGGCGTTCCTCATGGTTGATGTTTTCAATTAACCTGTTCAGATGTATTTTGAAATGCCTGTGGAGCAGGTGGGAATCAAATCCAGGCTTACTGGCTAAGAGGCAGGGACATTTCCACTGTGCTACAAGAACCCTTTCAAAGTTCCTGTGGGCAGTGTTTTAGACCCAACTATCTTCAGCAGCTTCATCAATGACCTCATGTTGAACATAGGATCGGAAGTGGGGATATTTGCTAATGACTGTATAATTTTCTGTACCATTTGCATCACCTCAGATACTAAAACAATCCATGTCTGCATGCAACAAGACCTGGACAACATCCAGGATTGTGTTGATAATTCGTAACATCCGTGCCACACCAATACCAGGGAAATAAAAGAGAATCTAAATATCTCCCTATGACCATCAACAGTATTACTATTAGTGAATACCCCACTTTCCAGATTTTGGAAGTTATGTTTGTCCAGAAGCTGATCTGGATTGGCTGTTTTAAATACCATGGGTACAAGAACAGGTCAGAGACCAGGAATTCCAGGATCAGTACCTCATCTTCCCTGCAACTATGGTATTGTAAATATTTTTGCTGTGTTTAAATTTTTTTGCAGATCTCTGAAGCTATTGAACAATTACAAGTAGCGCTTAAACTCAGGAATGATGACATGCATTCTCTCCATTTGCTGGCACTTCTGTTTTCTGCCCAAAAACATTATCAACGTGCTTTAGACGTCATCAACCTGGCAATCGGTGAATATCCAGAAAACTTCAGGTATTAACTCAGAAGTTTATTTATATATTAATTGCTTATATTTGATGAGATATTCGGATAGCTATGATTATTACCTTTCCAAATCCCCATCCCATCACCTATGGAATCCGATATGAGAAAGTGTAATTCATGCAAAAGAAAACTTGGTATACTTCTGCAAGATAATATTTGGAAATACAATATATGAATAATTTAAAACATAACATAGGTGAGGTATAATAAATCTGTAAGAAAACTATCATTCCCAAAACTTTCCACTGTTCTATAGGAGGCTGAAAGTGCCAATGAAAGGGTTAGTACTGAGTGAGCGGATATGTGCCACCTATTGTGGTGATGTCATGAGGACTGGTGGGGAGAGTAATTGAGGACATTGAAGGGTCAGACCTAAGAACAGCTCTGCCAAACAGTCTCTGTAATAATGTATACTATGATCTTGTAATATGTACATAGTTGCAGGAATGCAGTTAATTTAATCTTGTTTACAACAAACAACTTTTCTAGTTACACCACTAAGTGGTTATTTTCATCCATGCTAGCTCACATGGGCATTGGAGAAACATATTGGTGGCAGCATGGTATTTAACTTCACCTTATGTAACATGGTGAGCATCTGAGATGATCAGAAGATTTGCTTTAGCTTCACTGTACATGATAATCTGCAGCAGTGATTTGATTTGGATCTGAGACTGATCTAGTTACTCAAGCAGCATAGAAAGTAGCATGTGAAGATCATCAGTGGGGAATCAGTTGAATCCAAGAGAGGAAAACCCTGTGGAAACACTCAACACTTAAGAGTACGTTAAAGAACAACAGAAAGCATTTCAGACCTACTAAGACTTGCACTGGAGCAGGAGGAAACTGTAGCTCTAAGGCAGGGGTTACAGGTTGCATGTGAGGTGGTGGTCTGTGGCAGCAGTCTCAAGTCTAGAGATCAGACAGTGAGTGAACAGACAGCCGGGATTGTATGAGTCCTGGTACAAAGGGGAGACGCTAAACAGCATAGTGAGTGAACCAGAATAGGGCAAGAATTTTTTCTTAAAAAATGCTTTGATTTCGTGTTGCTGTTATAGTGCAAAGATACCGTGAGGCATAGCTAGCAAAAATAAAATACAAGTAACAGGACTGTGACACCAAGTTCTAGATCAGAGAGTTGGAGAGATTATAAACCCTGTAATCAAAATTGGATAATTGTTGGGTAAGATAAAGGCATGAGTAATTCTAGTCTAACAGGGAAAACGTCTCTGGGAGAAGAAAGGCAGGAGATCCTCAATTAAAATTTTAAAAAGTAGGAACCATCCAGTCAAGCTGTGAAAAAAGTGGGAATCATCCATTAAAGCCACCAGAAAGTGGGAAAACTATCCAGTACAGCAGCAAAGCATAAGAGAGCCAGCTTTGCTGTAAAACAAAAATCTTTAAATTAGATAAAATATCTAAACATATCAAGAAATGATATCAAAAGTAGTATTGCCAGAAAAAATTGATATGAGCCAAACAGAACACAAAATTGGACATCCTGGAGAAATCGATTTTTTAACTGTAGCATGGTTTCTAAACTGGATACCAAGTAGAAAGTTAATAAATAAATACATTTCTGTACACAACTTGGAATGTATTAGGTGATTACTGAGGCATCAAATAGGACACATTCAAACCAGTATTGAAACTCTTTGACAATTATTTCAATCTCTAAACTAACAAGATTGTTGCAAAAGCATTCAGATGAATCAATAGATGATTTCATTAATGACCTCTACAGACTAATGGAGAGATGCAACTGTGGTGACTTGGAGTCAGAATTCCTAAGACAATTAAGCATTACTGATGACTCTATGTCAGATTTATTGAGTCCATAGAAGACCTAACTTTGGAGCAAGCCATTCAGATGATGAGGGAAGCAGAGATTCTGAAACATCACAAATCAGAGAAGAAGATAAAATTTGGCATACGATTATCAGAGTACATTCAATTCTTAAGGTTCAGAACCACAAAAGATGCATGGTTACACTAATATAGCAGGTAAGACAGATACTAAAAATCCTTACCAACATAGTGGAGCAAAGAAATCTAACAGGTGTGATCAGAGCCCAGCTGTTAAATACAAATGCTTTTATTTTAAACTATCAATCACTTTTAGAAAATGTGCTGAAGCAGGACATAGCAACAGAAAAGCATGACACCAAATAACTACCCACACAAAAAAAAGTAGAATAATTTCCAGTGGAAGACAAAGCCAGAGTTTTCCTAGGGAAAATATGTGACCCTAGCCCAGCATTTTGGCAAGTTGATATTTTGTTGATGGTCACTTCATGAACTTTGGAGCAGGTGTTACATTGTTACCTGATAGTGTTGGCTTAGGAAACACATTCTACCACTGCCAGAAGTACATATATGATCTATGTGGCACAGCACTTCATGTTAAAGATGTGCTATAAGCAACTCTCCAATAGAGGGGATACCAAATACTAGAAAACCTACGTCTACATCACAGCCAGAAATTCTCACTCTTGTATAGAAAAGGTGTGCACTGACCTCAAGCTCTCCAACTGCTTTTCATGCTTTATTTTTTTCTTGTTACTTTTTTCCTCCTCTTTTCCCTTATTTACCTCCTGCCCTGAGCTTGGACAGCATCAGCAGCGAGTAGGCCCAGAACGGACTTGGGTGGGCTCAGTGCGGACCTCGCCGTGCCGGTGAGCGGGCCCGGTGCGGACCTCGCC